TTGACATCTTACATAGGGGCGAAGTGCTAGACCTACTACCATACTGACCCACCACGTTGGTAGGGGTAGCGTTATTTACCATGTTGCCATATTACAATTTTGACAGTGGCAACATCTTGGCATCATATATTTTTCCCTTCCCAAACCGCCAGACTCAGTCCTTGGTCAGATCTGTGAACGCTTCTGGAAAAGCATCACTATTGATAGCCCTGAAAGCAGCAGGCAGAACAGGAGAAAACGATAGCCATATTGTTTGACGCCTGCGCTTGACGCATAAATCTTCCTAGGAAATCGAAATAGAATCGCTTAGTGTCGTATCCACGTGCAAGCTTCTTATCTGGATATACGATGCGTCATTTGCGTCACTTTATTGTTGGCCTTTTACAAGTGCTGCTACTTGCAGCTTTGTTCTGTTTCATTAATTGTTTTGGATAAGTCAATATTCAACATTTATTGGTTTTGTTTCAGTAGCTTCTTCGGTAACGCTCATTGGGGAAGCTACGAGTTGAGCCGGAACGCCTCCTCGTGCTGCTCCTCAATCCGCTCAAGGTAGCTCTCATGGATTACCAAAATGTGATCAGTGCTTTTGCTAAGGAGCGTGTTATAGCTTTTCCATTGCAATATCGGCCGGGTATGGTCAGCTGTATCGGCCTGATATGGTCAGCTGTATCGGCTCGGTATGGCCACCTGTATCGGCCCGGCATTGATCAGCTGTATCGGCCCGGTATGGCCACCTGTATCGGCCCGGCATTATCAGCTGTATCGGCCGGATATTATCAGCTGTATTGGCCGGGTATGGTCGGCTGTATCGGCCGGGTATGATCAGCTGCACCGGCCGGGTATGATCAGCTATGTCGGCCGAGCATGTTCAGCTGCATTGGTCGAGTATGGTCAGCTGTATCGGCCCGGTATGGTCACCTGTATTGGCCGAGTATGGTCGTCTGTATTGGCCGAGTATGGTCGTCTGTGTTGGCAGTTATGGTCAGCTGTATCGGCGGATTGTGTCGCCTATATTGGCCGGTTATGGTCAGCTGTATAGGCCTGGTATTGGCCGGGTATGGTCAGATGTAACGGACGGGTATGGTCAGCTGTATTGGCCGGATATGCGGTACATTGTAATGCATCGGCCGGTCGGCCAGGTATGCCCGAGAGCGGATACAGATGCCGTCGAAAAAGACGAAAATGATAAAATAGCATGGCGGTATCTGCGCAGCTGAGGAGGTCGTATGGAGCGAACTAGTGTGTCATAATACACCGAATGCTGTTATAAAGTTTTTGCTCGCACGTACTTTAGATAACAGAAACATGATAATGCACTCGTGCTAATGCCAGGAGTGGAACACCAACACAGCATATTTATGAGCATACCGCGCGTACTATCTACGGACCCAGCGCGCAAAATATCAGGCGCGTTTTATGATTCAACGGAGCATTACAAACGAAACATACCGTTGCACGGAGGCGAATACATGTTCAGCTACGCATGAACCAGTACCACATCTTATTGGGGACATGTTTCGCCATGCGTAAAACTGTCCCAAGTCCACGAATGGAGAGTACCCGTTTCAAGCAAATCAGGAACACGATTCGTAGTCAAGCAAAATCGTTACCTAGGAAGTAGCAACTGTTCGTCCTTGAATGTATCCTCTGTGATAATTCAAACAGATAATGGACAAAATGCTGAACGGATCAGCGAAATATTTTGACATCGAAATGTATTAGTTCGTGCGTTCAGACCGTGTGTACCATATATTTATATGTTTCATTCCGCGCATGCACCGGAGTGCATATATTCAAAATGTGAACAAAGCGTACAATAGCACTGTTGTTGATTCCTGGATTTCGAGATGCATTGTTATATGCATTTTAATACGAAGCCTTATATGACAGATTACCAATCCCCATTCTATGAGCGCGCATCGCAACGGTACATTTTAGGTGGAAGAAAGAAACGCTGTCGCAGAAGGACGAGCAAACGTGCGCGCATTTCTACCAGACAATAAATGGCATGTTGTGCTGCCCAAATCTGCCTATAGCTCATTTCATTCTTTGTCAAGCAGCGGCACGCAATCCAATATGGTGGTTGTAGCCTATAGTGTAGCTCAGGTTTTTTGTTATAGCAATTATTTGTGGCAACCCTGCTTTCATGAAGCATACCCGCGCTTATTTGTTAAATTAGTCCTTCTGGTTCCTAGAAAGTTATAGAAATTTCCAATTCCTAGAAAAAAAGAGACTTCCAATTCCTAGAAAACTCGCAGTTTCATTCCATGGATTCGTAAAACTATATTTTCAAATCTGCCTTAAACGAACTTGCCTCAAACTTGCCCCAATGTGGATGTCTCGATTTTCATGAAGCTTCATGAAACTATAGCCAGGTTGACCCTCGCTAGCCAGCTCTCAGCTGACCGTCCTGCGGTGTCAGCCGGGCCAAACCAATGCGCCAGCTCTGGTCTCATGCCCAGTGCCGCAAAATTACGAACAATGCATCCTTGTCCCAGACCATGGTGGTACGCATATTGCGCAAAACGTTAGGACTGTGGCTATTTCCGGTCATTCATACCTCAGTATGCATTAATGTGATCAAGGCAGCAAGCAACTGTACCATTTGGACAATCTTTCAGCTACACCTGCAGACCCTGAGATGCCTAATACTGCAATACCTTTAAGGCAGCATAGACAGCTACAATGTCAGCATTAGTTCTTCAGATTGTGTATTGCCCCCCCCTCCCCCTCCCCCATTTGGTATCCACCACGTCAAACGCGTCCCTGTTCTTTTTTAAAAGCTGTGCTTCTGCTTGCGAGCAAAGCTTACGAAAATAGAACAGCAACACTCTTCAGATTTTTACTAAAAGTCTTAAGAAATAGTTACTAAAAAACCTAGTTACTTGTGCCGTGGTATGTTTCCGCGCTATGGCTAAGTTGCTGCCGCACTGCAAGTTTTCTTGCAAGTAAACGAAGACAATGCAGTCGATTGGTCATTCCACGTAGCTTGAATATGATGCATCAATGTTCATCGTTATTGTCATTCTCATCGACTGACTATCCTTTTACAAATGTTCACATTGTATTGTCATATTGGTAGCTCAAATTGTAGGACATCACTGGATATCCCCCTCACCCCAAGGTCGACCTTAAATATGGCACATTGCGCAGTGTACTGGTTGATACAGGTTTCTATCATGCTTGTCACCTTATCATTTCGTTTACTGAAGTTACCGTGCAACCAACCGTAGACAATCAGGCTCCCATGTTTAACCAATGTGTGAACATCCATATCATTTCCTAATGTTTTTATACCTTTTGATGCCTATGCTACCGGAGTCATGAGATGCATGCATATATATATATATATATATATATATATATACACATTATAATATTTTGGCGGAGTCCTTTCTTTCATGCATATTTGATTAAAAATCATTGCTGACTCAGCATTGACGCGCTTTTTGACGCCTCGTTCCAGTTTCCGGGCTTTTGACTTGGCATCATCACCTAGACTAAAGATGGTTCGCATCAAATTACTCATAAATTCGTCGCTCGTTACACTCTACCGTTTCGAGATCCTATCTCATCGTCGGAGAAGACTGAATGGCACAGGAAATACGTTTTGAGTCCTAAAGTATACAAAATTGTGCATTCCTATAAGACAACTTTTTTTGGTATGGAGAACACAAATGAAGCATGACTAGTTGAAGCAAGACACAGTCCTATTTTCACTATGATGCATATAAGAAACACTCATAACCGGCTTCCCTCCTCGCAATGGGGGTAATCGACTTCGAAATGGATGTTGCCCCTTCCCCCATTTTCTGAGACCTTCCTTCACTGCGTCTCAGAACAAGGATAATTTTGGCACTGGTTTTCCGTCATGTAGATAAACTAAGCTGATTTAACAGCTTAAATCACTGTTCTTCCTAAATTTTCATATTTAACTGACAAGAGTGTACCTGAAATTCTCCTGTGGTTGTTTTACGAGATGACTGTGCTTTGACGTCTTCCTTAGCTGTCCCAGGGACTCAAAATGGAGAACTTCGAAGTTGGTCAAGCGCCTTCTCAGACATCACTTGGGCATAGCCTACTAAAGCCGCGATCCCGCCTTGGATACGCCATGGCACATCTCTCAATGTTCGGGGCAAACATTGCACCCCTCCAAAACATGTTTTTGTAAGTAACAATTGATTTTTTCCATTCCTTAAAGCCAAGCCGACCTGTTTTGTCTATCTGCTAACTATGACGGTGGATTGATGATTGGCACGCCTGACGAACTTTTTATCGGTTGAATCGGTACGTATGAGAATAAAAAAGATATGAAGCCGCGCCCTTCGAGTTATTGTTCTGCACACCTGAGGGCAAGCGGATGGCCGCCCGTGGCATCAAAACTCCTGCAACTTCGTCGAAACAGTGTCGGAGAGAGGTAGGACAGCCTGCGGGCGCATCGCTAATTCACGGGTGCCGTCTCGGAGTGGGATGGTGGCAGTCTCCCGGCTATATTATTCAGGACGACGGCCACCTTCGATTGGAGCCCGCACCAGTGATGGCCGAAACCGAGCTCATATCCGGGTGCAGCCCCAGCCTCACATCCATACAAATTGCTCAAAGGTTCACAATCACAGCGGACCCAGAAAACCGGTGGCCGTTAACCCCCTCTCCCCGCGGCGAGTGGCAGCCAGCAGTCATATAACTTGGGTTGAGCCAACAATCGTTATTTACATGCTGGGTTATGGCTATATCCGTGTAGAAACACGTCTAATGATAGATGATGCAAATCAAAAGTGCGACGCTTTACTCGCATTTCCTTGGACCTCGAACCTTTCCCCTGCATAGGTATAGCGCTTGAGGATTATATGTCGAATTAAATGACAAGAATGGTGTGCATAAAAAGGTAAAGTAGTCGACACTTTCATATATAACCAGACTGCAACGCGTGCTTTTGCTTAAATTATGTCACAGAATGAGCTTTGCGACGCAGCGAAGGGCCAATGCTGGTAGGCACCCACCTAGCCAGAGTCCACCGAGAACAATCAGCAGCCGTCCCGTTGCCATCATGCTGCCTGTGCTCCGTCGCGGCTGGCTGTACTCTGTCGCGGCTGGCTGTGTTCCGGCGCGGCTGGCTGTACTCAATCGCGGCTGGCTATGCTCTGTCGCGTGGTTCTCAGCAGCGTCGCCACTCCATCGCCTCACTCCGCACCACTATTTTCAGCACTGCGCTGGGTCTCCTCGTCTGCTCACGCACCCTTTCCCCCTTGCACTGCACAGAGGTCCCCCGTTGTCCACACAACCCTCCTCGGAGCGCTACAGCGGAGTTACTCTGCTAACCACACGCGCCTATTCACGTTAGTGCGCCGGAGTTTCCCCTGAGGCCTCACACCTGCTGTCCCAGCACTGCACCAGACCGCTGCTGTCCCTTAGACCAGCGATCCAGCAGACCCTTCTCACGGCGCTAGACCGGAGCTCCCCGCTGCCCTGACGTCGCGTGCGACACTGCTCCGCAGCTTCCGTGCCGCGCACGCGTCCCTGTTGGTGGCACTGCACCGGGCCAGCCGTGCGTTCCCCACACGCTACACCGTCGACGCCGACGCGTGAACTGGCCAGCGTCGGCGTCGGCGTCGGCGACGCAGCGCTGCCGACGCGCTGACTGATTGCTGCGCGGTACAGAGCGTCCCGTGTGTGCGGGCCGCCGTCGGGCGGGGCCCCGCCGAGCGCCTCGCCGCCGTTCTCTGAGCACGACCCGCGGCTCTGCGAGACCGGGAGAGTGCAAGAAGTGCTTCTGAAGGGGAGGCAGTGTGGGTGTCTGCTATGACAAGGGCGGCTGAAAGAGACCTATTATTGGACGCCGCGCGCGCGGTGGACGACGCTGTTTTTATCGTGCGGTCCTTTTGTATTTCGTAGTTGGTCATTTTCCGCTGTTGGCGTCGTGTGCTACACTCACTCATTGTCTAAACCTGATAAATGGGTTCGGGTCTTCAAGTGGTTCAATGCCGCAACCGTGATATAACGACTTTACCGATCGTGTAACAACAGCCCACGACTAAAAGTTCGCGGAAGCTTTGTAAGTGCATAGAAAACCACAAGGGACCAAGAATGCACTCAACGGTGACAAATGTACGATAATTTTATCACGCAATTTGTTTCTAAGGGTCTGTCGAGACGCCAGCACTACCAGGCATAGGTGGAAAAGGTCCCTGGATACCGTTTAACCATACTCAGCGGAAAACTGTGTCGCAGAAGAATGTGCCGCACGATGCATCTTGTGGAGGAACTTTCTTGGAGAGCCAGAAAACCGCGTGGCAACGATATGCGAGAAAGTTGCTCTATGAACACATCACTAAGGCAATGGCCGCTGCTGGGAAAATGGCCGATTGCAAGACCAATAGTGCCCTTAAAAGGAGCACCTCCCATCTCCTTTTGTACTTTTCACGCACGGTCAGATTGCACGGGTCTGATTGGATCTTTAATAGCAGTCCTCTCGAAATATTTCTGAACAGCTCCAAAACCAGATCAGAAGTGGCTGCTCCGACAAAACAAAACTTTATTGGACTCCCCTCGCCATTATGAAAGCAATTTTCTTTATTTGCTTGGCGTTACCCAAGGTGCATGCTATGTGATATTCTCCGTTCACCAATGCACCAAAGTTTGTGCGCGATATCGGGTAGGAGAGCTCGAAACCATCTACTTCTGGAACAAATCCACCTAAATATGCGATCATTCTCAAGAGAATTCAACGAAACATTGAACCATGGCTTTGATTTCTTTCTTATGGCGTTAAGTATAGTGATTCAGTTCTAATTGTACTTTGACTTTGGAAAGTACTGCCTGGACGCGTGCTTCGTCCGAGGTTGTGTTTGTAATCAAGGCATACACCAGCGACATATGACCTGCTTTAGTGACGCGCATATTTCACCAATGCACTGGCTGCCAAATGCCTGCGCGCGTTGTGATTATCACAGACGCTCATTTCTACCGACAGCATTCATAATTAACAACACCCGAATTTAGCATATGCCCACCACTGCAATCATGGTGGATGGAAACACCATACAATTTAACATGCACTCGGGTGGAGTCAATTTGACCCGCCTAAGGTAATTCCAGAATGGCCTTCAAACTTCGCGGCGAAGGCACGCCAAATTTTGCATAGCTGTAAAAAATGGAGTAGTGGATCGTTTGACATCAACAAATTTGATGTACCTTCTAAGGTTGCTGACCTGCAGCAGGTCAAACCTAGGTCATGGATTCAGCGAAGACAATATCTTGGAAACGCTTAATCTGTTGCAATAACGGAGTGTTAGACGAAGCCATACATCTCTGAGATAGCTTCTTAGGCAACAAAGCAATTGAATGAACAAATTCCACTGACCTAGGGTCTGGTATAAAGCTCAAACCTAGGTCAAAACCAACCTGTTTTATTGTTTTAGAGCTTGCTGCGTTTGGGATAGTTTCTGGCACTCATTTTGAATATATTGATCACAGGAACCGCATTCCACATCTAGCACAGACCTCTTAAATGTCAAGAAAGGCCACTGACCTTAAATGACCCAGATTAACATTTTGGTTTCAGGAACGTGCTGCCTAGCGTAATCTTTGACCTCTATTCAACTGAAAAACTAAGCAATCTTTTATTATTTTGGTCACCATGACCGCGAAAGATAAAAAGGTCGGTGGCCTTAAATGAGGCCCAGTGATTGTTTGCTTAGAACGGGTATCTAGGTTTTGGGCGCTTCGGACACCAACTGGATTTTGACGCTGTTTTACCTTATTTAACCGGATGGTCATAACCTAGGAACCCCAAATTTTGACACAAGTGAATTCACGTAGAGTTCAAGACACTTCGTGAATTCGATGTCCTTAGCTGTCTTGATTTATTGGACGTCAAGGGAGGTCAAATTGACCCTCCCCCCCCCCCCCCCCCCACCGGAGCGAATGGCTATTCAATAGGCCACCCAGACGCGTGTTAAATGAATATATTCGGCTCCAATCTGAGGCCAGACATTCCCATACTGAGCATGTCGGCTTTAAACCACGTTAGCTCCTTCACTGTCCACTAACCATCGTCATAATCACATCACTAACTCACTCTTGCCATCAGACATGCACCTGGTTCCCAGCTTCGGTTTCTGGTTCCCGCTAGTTCCTCCGACAAAACAAAACCCTGGATTCTGGTTCCTGCTAGGCCATTGGATAAACTAAGTCCTGGACGCTGATTTTAACTGGTTCTTTCGACAAAACAAAACCTTGATCCTGGTTCCCACTGGTCGTTCGAAAAAGCCAAACCCTGGATCCTGGTTCCCTCTTGGTCTTTAGCGGACCATGCGGCTGGTTCCTGGTACTCACTGCAATTGGATCGAAATGTTTGTATGTGCATGTGATGTACGCGCAGCCAATCTTGGCAGGGAAGGGAACACGGGGCTGGCAAAGGGCCACAGATCCGATAGCCCCAGCCCTTCAGGGAGTTGTTTGCTTGATCTGCCGGGACGTTTTATTCGCTTGTGCTTTTTGTCCTCTATAACTGAAATAAAGAATTTGGAGCTACCAGAAAATACCAAAAAATCATTTTGATGAACTAAGCAGGCATCAAATGACTGCATGGAGCAAAGTGTCAGTGCTTTTCATGTCACATTGTTCATGTAAACTTTCACCAAACCGATACCAAACAGGGACGTTGCCGGCCGAGGCCCGTGAATACACAGATAAAAAGACCCTGAAACAATGAGAGGGCCACCTGCCGACACCCCTGTGTCGGCCAGAGACGCGAAAAGCCTGAGAGCTGGTCCTGTGTGGGCCAGAGGCAGTGTTCTAAGGGGGATCGAAGAGGGCCCTGAAGGGTCCCTTGCGGCCGACAATCAACGTGCCGATTAGAGAGGTCAGTGGCCGGAAGGGCTTGCCTTAGGTCACATTAAGGACCCCGACCATTAATTAAGGTACGGGACGTCAAACGTCAGGGCCTCTTGCACCGGTATGGGCTTCCCTGGAGTAATGAATGCGGGGCTCTATTTCGGCCAGATGCAAACCAACACCGAACAGAAGGCTCCGTCGCCATTGTAGCCTTCGGGCTCATTTTCCTAGCAGGGACAAACCCGGTGCCCTTGAGTTACACTTGTCTGGAGTTCCCGCGACAATTTCACCTTTTGGGTCACCTTTTGTCAGCGTAGTGGCCCGGAGCTAGCCAGGAAAACATTTGTTAAAAGAGGGTGTTCCATACTTGAATGGAGTTTTCAACTAAAACAGCCATCTCGAAGATCAGGAAGTGCAGCACACAGCCCAGCCCTTTGAAGCCCAAACCCTTAAAGTTTCTGAGCTATGCGCCTGCAAAGATGTGCGAACTGTTTCGGGGATACCATTTCAAGGTCACTCAGGCATCCATGACGCCATAATACCAAGACGTCATTCAATTTATGTCGTTCCATTAGCCACTTAGCGGCGGAGGCCAAAAGCAATAGAATTGTCGATTAAGTGATATCTGACGCTCGTGAGCGCGATTCTTAGATATAACGGCCATCAACTGGCTCGCAATCAGTGTTGCGCAAGCCGTGATGACGTAATCAAGCGATGACGTATTAAGGAGTACACTTACTCAACAGAATTTGCGTTGCCTAAAGCAGCCTTTCCACATAGTATAGCAATAGTTTTAAGTGAGCTTAGCTCATCACATCCGATGCTTTCTTGCTTCATTGTCTAAAATGCGGAACGTTTCCTGTCAAGGGAGTTCTAAAGGGAATGAGTCAATCTAGAAAATCCCACGTTTGAAATAAACACCTGTACTGCCATCTAAATGTACGATTTGATGTCCTCAAACCTTCAAAGATACTTCTTTTTGATGCTTAATGATCTGCGTCCGCCCGTTTGCCGCTTTTTAGAGTAAACCGTGATGGACGCCGCGCAGCCCATGGACCATGGAGGCTGCATCGTCGAGCGTCGCTGTGTAGACCCCTGGAGCACCTCGAAACGGACTGGCGGCGTTGCCGTACCGCCCCTCAACAGCTGCCCTCGGCCGTCCAGATAGCTACGGAACCATGTTAGGTCGATCTCGTACCATCACAGCTTTCAACACGATGCTGTTGTCGACACTGTCGAAGACTGCTGAGGTCGGCGGCGGGGACTGATGAAATGCCATCGCGTAGTAAGTTTTGTGAATCCATTCGACAGCGCAGAGCACGGCATGCTCGGTGCAGTGACAAGGCTAAAAAGGGCTAAAAAATATAAATGTCGGCAAGGCTGGCAATGCTGTATGCGTATTGGCCATAAAAGAAAATGTGGTCACAGATAATGAGAGAGTTTATCCGAAAATGTTTCCTAACTTCAGACAGGTGGGGTAGAAGGGAGATCGGCCGATAGTCAGGGGGCTCGTAAACGTCGCCTTTGGTTTTGTAGATGGGGACCACCTCGGCAGTTTCCACACAACGGGAGAAAGGCCCTTCGTCGTAGACGCGTCAAAATGTGGAACAGAGACAGCCAAGTCCGTGCGAAACAGCGCTCAACTGCCCCCAGCCGCACCCCGTCCAAGACGGCCGCTCCAGACAAGTTCTTGCGTCTGAAAGCTCCCGCCAGCTCCGGCAGGGTGGCTGGCTGG